AGGGGATTCTGCCCCTCTGCCCCGCTCCAGCTTGACCTCACCCAGAGCTCTGGAGACCTCAGCACTGGAGAGACTGCCTCTACCAGACACTTTCAAATTCTGTTTCTTTGTGCTTGGCCTCTGTCATGTGTAAACACCCCCCTCTCCACTCACAGTGGTGTTGTGAAAACAAGTTAATAACAGTTGGAAAACCCCTAGAACAAGCAGCGAGGCTCCCGGAGCACCTGCCTACCTCTGCAGGGGCTGCCAGGACCTGTGTGGCCAGCTCAGATAGAAACCAGGGACAGTGGCCATCATGCTTGCAGGCAGTGGCCAAGTCCTTTGCTCAGCTAGTGTCCCTAGGGCTGCAGCATTCCGCAGACACACACAGGACTCACCCTCAGAGCTCCCAGAGGCAGGAGCTGACAGCGTGCCTGGCCTCTCGTCTTGGCAGGGGCTTCTGTTACGTGACCTGACACACCATCACTCTGAATCACACACTCATTAAGGCTGGAAAAGACCTCCAAGATCATCAGGTCTGGCCATTCAACCCAACACTACCATGGCCATTAACCGTCTCCTCGAGTACCATCTCCCCATGGTTTTTGAACCCTTCCAGGGATGGTGACCCCACCACCTCCCTGGGCAGCCTGTCCCAATGCCTCACCACTCCTGCACTCAAGAAATTCCTTCTAATACCCAATCCAAATGTCTCTGATGCAACTTAGGCCACTTTCCTCTTGTCCCATCATGAGTTACTTGGGAGAAGAGACCAACCCCCACCTCACTCCAACCTCCTTTCAGGGAGTTGTAGAGAGCAAGAAGGTCTCCCCTCAGCCTCCTCTTCTCCAGATCACACGACCCCAGGCTCTTCAGCTGCTCCTCACCAGCCATGTTCCCAGGCCCCTCACCAGCTTCATTGCCCTTCTCTGGACCCGCTCCAGCCCCTCAATGTCAGGGCACCCAGAACTGAACCTAGTGCTCAAGCTGTGACACAGGTTTGCTCTAAGAGGACAATCACTATGCTTAAGGTAAAACTTGCTAAAACTTGTTGTGGTCCAACACCACCACACATGCAAACGTGTATTAAAGGCAGAGGGCAGCACCTTTCACCCCTGTCCTCAGCCACACACGAGGCTGTTGGGTGGCTCCGCTTCCACTCCTGGAATTACAGTCAGCACAGCCAGTGGAAACCAGCTTGCAGCATCTCCTGGAGCCTGGCCAGCCTGTGCACCGAGCTGGGGGACAGCAGGGGCCAGAAGGGAAGGGGCAGGGCTCCTAGTGGTGTGCTGGAGCTGGAGTGCTGCACCCACACATCATCATCATCACCTCAAAACAGATGGGACTGCAGCGCCACAGAGACCACATAATGACAATGTGTGGTGCAGGCACAGAGGGGAGGGACATGGGAACAGTGCATTTAGTAAACTATTTCCTGATACTGCTCCCCTCCCCTGAGACCTAAGTATTTGAAACAAACATTAGTGAGCAAATAAACTCCATCCTTCAAATCAGACAAGATGTTTCACAGAAGCATGTGAGTAGGAAGGAGCACCTGGAGGTCTCTGGCCAGCCACCTCCTCCCAGGCATGTGCAATCAGAGGAGGATGCTCTGTAAAATTTGGAGTATCACCAGCTATTGAGCTCCCCATGGCCTTTCTGCAGTCTCTTTCCTTTGACCACCCTCATGAGGGAAATCTCTTTTCTCTGTATGGAATCAGAAGTTGCCATGTTCCAACATGTCCCTGTTGCCTCTTGTCCCACCTCCCTGTGTGCCTCTGCAGAGTCTGGCTCCACCTTCTCCACCCCTGCCTGTTAGGCAGCTGTAGGCAGCAGCCAGAGCTCTCCTTAACCTCTTCTAAACCACCCACCATTAGATGGGGTGCAGTCTGACAGAGAGCACACGCTGCCAGAAGGTGCCACAACGAGCACAGCACCAGGATGCTGGCTCTGCAAGATGCTACTTGTCAGATTTGGGCAAAATGCACTGCAAGGAGGCAGGAAGAGCACCCTGAGGTGAAGTGATGGGCTGGAGCTCATGCAGGCAGCAGGCAGGCATCAGGGCCAGTCAGACCAGTCATGCTGGGCTAACTGCTCCAGTGGCCAGAGACACTGGTTTCCCCAAGGGCAAGGCAAGGGATTCCATGGCCAGAGTTTCAGTACCCAGGACTGACTGAACCCCCCCTCTGCTCTGCAGCCCCCTTGGAGAAACACGCTGGAAATGCAGCATTTTGCATCTACAGACAACTTCACAGCTCATCACACACATTTACCAGAGAAAACTCAGCTTGTCTGGCCTACAGATGGAGCAGGAAAAAAGCAAGGGAGAGCAGAGTATGGGGACATGTCTCAGGAGAGCCTGGAGGCAGCAATGATGCTGTGCAGCTCTGGGTGATGTTCCCTTTCCCAACAGCCAGAGCATCCTGTGGCAGCATAAACCCAGAGACTAAGCATGGAATGGGAAGAAGGAGCCTGGCAGGGCAGCAGAGAAGGGAGCGTGTCCTCCTTTGAGTTACAACAGATCTAATTCTGGACAGTGCTTTTACATCTCAGCTCAGTCTCTTCTAATAACAGCCCTGTCTGAGGTTAAGAGCAGATTTTTGTGTCTGCTTCTAGCAGTGCTAACGCTCCATGCTTAGAGCCACTGCCAAGGGCTGGGGTGTGCAGAAAGGCTCCTGCTTAGACTTGCTCCTGTGCAGACCAAGGTCACTGCTGAATCCTGCCCAACATGTTGGGGTGCAAAAAGTGAAAGGGGGAGTGGCTAGGACAAGTGGCCTTAAACTGACCAGTAGGGTACTCCATTCCACAGCCATCATAGGCAGCCTGAAGGACCACAAGGGTCGAGTTCTCTGCTTCAGTGGCCAGTGCCCAAGAAGGACTCTGGTCTGTTCTGCCTTCAATCCCAATCCATGCATTCTGGAATCCAGTTCCATAATCCAGCTCCTGTATCCAGTTCCCATCTGCCACAAAGTCCAGGCTGGGACTTGCCCCGTGCCAGCTCCCCAGCATCAGCAGTGACAGTGACATACTGCTATCAGGGGCATTGGGTTTGATATTGGGTTAGAGCACATTTGTACATTTTTCTGTTATTATTTTCATTAAAGCAGTTTAGTTTTCTTTTCCAGAAGTTTCTCTCCTTCATTCCCTTTCTCTTGCCCATTGGGAAGGGAAAAGGGTTAATAAGGAGCATCTCATTCATCTAGTGGCCAGCACAGCCCTAACCCATGACAGAGCAGCACACTTCCCTGCTGTCCTGCCTACTCGGGGCTCCATCCCCACCCGTGCAGCTCCTTTACCAACAGCACACAATGGTGACTTTCAGTTCCTGGGTTTGGTGCCCCCGTTCTGGCTTTGGGAGTCCTGCTTGGGAAAACCAAAGAGAAGAAGCCAAGCAGACAAGAGGAACTGTCCCAGTCACATTGGGCTTTCTTGCTACCTAACCACACCAGCTCTCCACCTGCCAGTGACCACTGAGAGTACAAACAGCTGGCCCACAGAACTGCATGAAGGAAATGGGCAGGCTGGGAAGCAGCTGAGGGAGAAGTGCACACGTGTACCCTGCAGCACCCAGTTCAGAAATGATGCTGGAAAACTGGCTTGTGGACGTATCACAGGTCTCCTGTGTGACCCTGGCTAGGTCACTTCACCTAGGCCTTGGTCTCCCTGACTGTACACAGAACGTGTCATGTTTACCTGTCACAAGGATTGACTCACTGATGTCTAAGGCACTTGGAGATCCTTGGATATGGGGAAAAAAAAAAAAAAAACAAACACATAATGAAAAGAACAAACCTTGGTGAGAGAATACCAACCAGAGAGAAGAGCCAAGACACGTGTGCTCCCACCCACCGACTCCACACAGCACGTGAGGTCCGTGGTGTTTATAACATGTAGTACAGACAAGGTGATCTTTCTACTGATAGAGATGGACAGGAGAAAGACACCAGAGATAAGTCTATCAGGGTATTTCTGAACAGTGTTCCCAAAGGGTCTCAGGATGAACTTGCTTCCACTAGGAAGGATCAATTGCTTGCTCTCGGAAAGACCACCCAAATACTGGGCAATACAGCTTTTAGGATAGAAAAAACACAGAAAATACTGGGCAATACAGCTTTTAGGATAGAAAAAACAGATGGGACAAGCTGTGATTTGCAAAGCCACCTGATTTCAGTAGCTCTGTGGCAGGCTTGCACGCTCCTTCTTCTTACCCTGATTCAGGGATCTTAGTCTTTCTTGCCCTAGGCTGACCAGCGATGCAGAGGGACAAGAAACAATGGAGCTGTCCTCTGCCCAAGGATGAGAAGAATGAGTGGAGATGAAAGCCATTCTCTCCCATATCCATCTAACTCCCCACAAGAGCTTTGGTCTTTTCCACTGGGATAAGTTTCAGCACCAGGCCTGACAGCAGCAGCCCTTGGCCACACAGTGGCTCTACACATCTTCACTCCGTCGTCTGGATGTACACAGGTACAGCCAGCATGGTGCAGGGGCTGTCCGAGGCACTCTGCAGTTCTGCCAGGGCCAAATTGGACGTGATGTTGTTGGGCTGCCCAGGAACAAGGTCTGAGTCAACAACTCCTGACCCACCAACCATGATGGACAGGACCGCGTCCGACTGCTGGAACGGTTCTTTGTTAGGGCCGCCTTCCGGGGGCCCTTCCCCAGCAGAACAGTCCTTCAGCTCTGCCAGAGCCAGCTGGCTGGGGGGGGAAAGGCCTGCCTTGTGCCCCCGTGTCACCCGCTTCTTCTGGGGCTTCCTGAGCTGCAGGTCCTTGTCCTTGGGCGAGCCCAGGCGGCACTTGTGGTCCCTCATGTACTTGTGGCGCGTGAAGCCCTTGCTGCAGGTGGGGCAGCGGTACTTGTAGTTGCCCGTGTGCGAGCGCTGGTGCTCCATCATGTGGGACCGGCGGCTGAAGGACTTGTGACAGTACTGACACTTGTGGATCTTCATCCCTGCACGGGGGATGAGAGGAGAGAGAGCTCAGTTACACACCCTGCGTCCCCTGGAGAATCTGCACCGGCCCAGCGAGGGCGGGGCAGCTTCAGCTCCTCTTCCGAGGAGAGGTCCTCTGACAAAAGCATGAAACAGCCACCTCCTCACCTAAGACACCCCACTCTTTTTCAGCTTGCTGATTAAAGCAAAACAAAAACCCCCCATGGTCTGAGACGTTATGCCAGGCAAATTTACAAGAAGGGTGAACAGCTACACCTTGAATGTCTGTGTTTAAGAAGGGCTAAAACAATAGTACTTGCCTCAGGTAAGAAGATTAAAATATCACCAGAAAAAAAAAATTGTCAGGTCATTGTGAAGAAAATGCAAAATGCTGTTAAACTCTGATTTATTTTTTTCCAGTGTACTTGGTAAGTAAAAAAAGGTTCCCTTTTTCACCCAAGTATGGGGATGTACAGTCTGAAACAAACCACCCACTGCACTGTCAGCACAGTCCCATCTGATCACACTCTGCAGGGCTTTGGACACAACAGGCATGAGAAACACCCTTCAGCTTTAACAAACATTTGGACATAAGTCCAAATGTTTCCTAATGCATGGGAATAAATTATTTGTCTTTATTAGGTTTGGGAGCTTCCTTGTTGGAATATAGAGAGAAGAGAACCAAATCCCAAGAGATCTCCATTGGAATGTGAGATGGTACTGGGAAGGAGCAGCCAGAGCACTTTGGATATTAATTTCATGGCAAACACTGAGAAATGCAGCTCTGCTTCTGCATCTTGCCAGCACACCCTGCCTGCAGATTTACACTGCCTTAGAAAACAACCCAAAGCTTAGACACAGCTCACTTAAACGGCCTGCAGCAACAGAGATCAAAAAAATCCAAAGCTAATAAATTACATTAAGAATTTAGACCTACATGTGGGAAACACTGTACCACATGCCATGAAAAACTGTCCCACAGAAAACTACACAGCAGCTGTGTGAGCTGAGCAGTGGATGGAGGGACATGGCAGGGAAAGCACCTGTAAGGAACATCCTGCACTTCTGTGGGTGTAAAGCACTTTCACAGTTTGCTGTTTCTCGGGGTTCCTCCTTCTGTAACACACTCCTGCAGCACCACAGCAAATACCAGCCACGTTAGTCCCAAGCACCAGCAGCACAGGCAGAGCAGCACTTACCTGAATGGGACAGGATGTGAGCCTTCAGCTTGTCAGGCCTGTTGAACTCTTTACTGCAGCCCGTGTGGCTTCTGTAAGAACAACAAATTCTGGTGAGCAGCATGAATCAGCTGAGGATCGATGTATAAACAGATCCTGGACTGTAAAGAGAGCCACAACCCTTCTTAGTAGCACCCAGATGGGTCTCTCAGTGCAGTCTCAGTAACAGCTCCATTATTTCAGCCCTTCTGGAGAGGGGCAAGAATTAAACAGGCTGCTACAGGGCCATACAATTTCTGCCAGACTACACATGGTCTGTGTCTCACTGTGAATGCTCAGCAGGTTCAAGGTTCCAGTTGGAGACAAATATTTTGGAATGAGGCACAAGGTGGTTGGAGCAGGGAGAAGCTAGTCAGTCTTGGCCATCTCAAAAGGCCCATGGCTGTGCCATGCATTTGACGATGCACCTTCTAAAGCTGGGTTTCTCTGGCTCATACATTAGCACCTATGTTGCCAAGTGCTTTTTGAGATGTGGCAGTCAGGGAGACCCCATCATTCAAGGCAACCTTGTGTTTTGTGGTCAAATAATACTCCCTCTCTTGCCCAGTGCTCCCCAGGTGCAGCCCTCCCAAGCAGGCAGGGCTTGATGAACTGAGATGGAATGATGCTGCCCCACAAGAAGTCAATGACAAAAAACTGGGGCTTCGGGGTTCCCAGTTCCAACAGCACAGAGCGTTCCTGCCTCCCCAAGTAGCAGTGATTGGCAGATACCCTAGGGAACGTGTGTGGCACCTGCAGGAGACATCTGCTCCATCCCAAGCCCCATCCCAACACCATCAAGACATGCTGTCATGCTGGAGAGGCACTACGTACGAGAAGGGACATTTATATTTCTTAAAAGGCTCATGGATCAGCATATGTCTCTTGAGTTTGTCCTTTCGATTGAAAGCTGCATCACACACTGAGCACTTAAAAGGCTTTTCACCTGGAAAAAAAACACAGACCAACAGTTAGGGAGAGTCCAGTCATGCAGGTCTAGTACATCCAGGGTTCACTATGGCAGCTCTGTCACTCTGCTCTGTAGACTTCCCTGAGCTTCCCTACTCCACCTGAAGGGTAAATGGATGTAATCCACACTGAGCACAGTGTCTGCTCTCCAGAATCAGCTTCCTCACCTTCTGCAACCACAGGCAGTGGGGAAGCCACCCCACTGCTAACTGGTGCAGCACTGGACATGAGGCTGAACCAAAACCATCCATCTCCTGAACCCCTGTTATGACAAAGGACTCATACAGTCACCTCTGTGACTCTGGTTCCTGGGAGAAAGGCCCGGGCATTACAGAGGGCAGCAAGGACTGTCACACAGGGATAACCAGCACTGTGGTGCCCGGGGAGCCCCCACCTGAGTGGATGTGGGCGTGCAGCTTGAGGTAGTGCTCCCGCCGAAAGAACTTCTTGCAGATCTGGCACTTGAATTTGCTGCTCCCGCCGTGCGTGGGGATGTGGCGGCGCAGGTACCTCTCACAGGGGAACACCTGGTGAGGCACAAAAACAAGGGTAAGGGCCAGCAGCACACATGGGCCATCACTGAGCCCACATGGGCATGGGAGCTGTGGCCTGTCTAGAAAGCATAAGCAGCTCGTGGTCGCTGATTTCTTGGAAAGGATGCGCTGAGAAAACCTTCAGGATGGTACAAGGAAAACGTGGATAAAACTTTAAAACAAAAACAAAACAAACAAACCAACAAACCACCTTAAACCCCCCCAAACCTTCTTAAGAAGCACATAAGCTGAAAGCTTGCTGCTGAGTTTTGTAACACCACATTGCTGAGGAACAGCTCCCCAGGTGGATGCCCAGTCTCCCACTGAAATCAGCAGAAGGACAGGCTGGGCAAGGACACACACCCTCCACACACACACCCCAGGAGTTACTACCTTCCCAGAGGGTTAACTGCAGTTTCTGCTTCCCAATAAGCTGTTAACAAATGCTCCCATCCATGGTCTTTATAAAGCTGGTACAAATGGCTCCTTTGGCTAATAGGGATACTGGGAATACCAAGCTAAAAGAATTCCTAATGAGGATGCTGCAAGCACATGAGGGGAGCAGAGGGCAGCCAGGGGTTCTGATACCCAGGACAGTGCTCTTGCATCTCCAGAGAACAGCAATATTACCAAGAATACAAACAGAAGTAAAAAATACTGCTGCAGATAATGGGCTTCCAAACCCCTGTGCTGCAAGCTGCAAGTCCCACTCAGGCTCAGAAGGGCATCTGTCACCTGGCTGGGGAAGTGGAGAGAAGGCAGGCAAAGAAAGATGGGTTACTAACCATGGAGGAGTGTGTTTCCCCTTCCTGAGCTACCTCAGTACAGAGTGCTCACTCCTTTCACTGTCCCTGCCCCCACTGCAGGATTTTCATTTCCTTTGCTATAAACAAAGGAGCAAGGGTCCAAATTTCAGTCTGGACTTCAAAAAGTAATTTATTAGAAATCAACCCCCACAAAATTCTGCCCCTCAAGCCCCCTCAGGGGCTGTGCTGAAGAAAGTGTTTCCAGCCAAAACCTACTTGGACATTGGCCCAGGCCCAGGCCCATCACTCAGACAGGTTTCTCTTGCCAAGGACACAGAGCAAGCATTCATCCAAAAGAGAGGAATGAGGGGAAACCCAAAGACCCGTGTTGTGAGAGATGAGGACAGTGATGGAGGTGTAAAGCTCCCACAGGACCCATGGCCAACCCTTCCAGCCACAGGTAGCCAAGCACAGCAGGTCAAAGGCACTGCCACTCGAAGGCTTCCCAAAACCAGCCTCACTCCTCCTGGGACACTTGCTTTGAAGGACTGAGGGTAGCAGCCTGGTGTGCAGTCCTGAGCTGCCATGGGAATGAGGGAGGTTCCCTGAGAAATTCTGTTCAGCAAACAGGACTCAGGAGAAAAGCCAGCACCGTGGGGAAGAATAAACTCTGGTGAGGGGCCAGAGAGCTGGGAGCCAAGGCTGCAGCCACCTCGGTCTGAAAAGCTCTGAAAAGCATCTAGTGAGCCTGCCAGTCTGTACTGAGGTAGGAAAGGAGAGGAAAGGAAGCCAAGTGTTCCCATGCCCCTCAGAGCCCTAGCTACATATGCAGGACCAGCTCAGGCAGCAGTCAGCACCCACCTTCTGGCAGTGAGGGCAGGGGAAGTTGTGCGTTGCTGTCTGCAGATGGTGCTCCAGGGCCTCTGGGCTGGAGTACTTATTTGTACACTTCACACATCTGAACGTGGAGAGAAGGACACAGCCTGTGAACAAGGTTAGGGCCAGCAAACCCCACACCACAGGCAGAGCCCAGGCAGCACTGCTCAGCCCACCCACCAGCAACCTTCCAGGTTGGTTTTTGACAGGGTCAGCTTGGTGCAGACAGTAACACCACCACCCAGGTGCTGAAACCTCAGCAACCCACATAGCCAGATCACACTCACACTGAGCATTCTTCACAGGGGGGAGATGCTGGAAAACCAGGTGAAGAAGCCTTTAAATGGCTAATGCTCTTCCACACAGATTCCCATGGGAGCATCCACATTGCCTTCTCATGGAGATAAGGCCTAAGTAATGACTTCACCTTACTCAAAACACCTTCTTCCATCTCCACTGCACAAGGACAGCAGCTCCCAGTGAAAGAGCTGGGAGTGAGGTCACAGCATGCATCAACAGTGACAACAGAGGCACTCACACTGTATCTGCTGTGAAACCCTTTTTCCTTAGATTAGGTTAAAACCTCCCCAGGTGTAAGCAGAGCTCTGATCTCAAAGATCTCCACTAGCAAGCTGTAGGATGTAGCTCTTCAGTGCAAGTCTAACTAGAAATCATGGTAGCAGATATTTATTCCATGAACTTCCTAGGTGACTTTGGTTATCTCCTGGGCTTCTTACCCCTCTCTCCATATCTCTACAGGCATTTCAAAAGCTCCAGAGAGCTCTTTGTGGAAGTCTTCCTCTCCCCCTCTACACTAGCAGAAAGTCTGTTACCTCTCCCAGGTAACAGACCCTTTCACAGCAAAGGGATAGAAGACTTTTTCTGGGCACAACTTCTACTGCCACACTCCCTTTGCAGCAGGTGTTTAAGAATCACAGAAAACAGGCTGGGAAAGGGCTTCCCTGGGTCTCTTGTCAGCCCAGTGCAGGTTCAGCTGTGCCCATCTCCCTTTTCACTGATGATAAGTGAAAGTGAAGGGACCTTCCCATGCAACTGATCCCAGCCTTTGTCTTTCCAAAAGGTTCCTTGCATTCCAAGTGCTTGGCCCTAGCAGCCCAGTGGAGGCTAGTGGAGTGCCCAGAAGAACCATGGCTGCTGAACATGCATCCCCCTCTTCCCTCCAGCATCCCCACTGCTCTCAGCCAAGCACACTCTGCACCCACTCACTCCTACAAGCCTTGTGAGCACCGATTGCTACTGTACTTGTACACGGCCACGTCCTTCTTGGGGCTGTGCTGGGGCAGCAGGCTGTGGGAGTACTGGTGGACGCCCAGCTCATACAGGGAGGGGAAGTCCTTGCTGCAGACGTGGCAGCGATAACTCAGCTCTTCCTGGTGGCTCTTGATGTGCTCAAGGAAGGACTCCAGCTTCTGGAAGGTCAGAGCGCAGGTCTTCACCACGCATTTGTACACCTGGGAGAAGCAGCAGTGACTGGAGTGGCACACCATGGAAACACAGAGGGAGAATCCTCTGCCAACAGAGAGTGGCCCTCCTTTTTGGGGATTGTTGCCACCAGGTCATTTACAGAAAGGGACCACTGCCCCTTACACCACTGTGCTGGAGAACAGCTGAGCTGATGTTAAGAGCAAAGCAGCACTGTGGTTCCCAGGGCATCCCACCATGGCCAGAGCCACATCAGCACTCAGTCAGGGCACAGCAGTGAGACCCTGCCCTGCACTCCAGCAGGACACAATGTGGTGTAGAACGTCCCCTTCCCCTCCTTCCTTCTTCAGAGGAAGGGTCTCTGAAGTCATTAAAGAACAGTGCAGAGCAGCTCAGAGTCAAAATGTGTCTGACAGCTCCCAGTGAAGACAACCTGCCAGGAGTTAAATGTTCTGCAAACACAGATCCTCAGGGCACTCCTCCAAGAAAGCAATGTGGCTGAAAAAGGTGGTGGTGGACACCTGAAACCACTCAAGGGGGTGAGACCACAACACTCCAGCAGTGATTGTCCCATGACCCGAGAGCTGCTGCCTACTCTGAAAACTTTAGACTTTGCTTCTTTTCTATCCACCCAAACCTGCTTGACTGACTTCTCACTCAGCAGGGTGGTGGCAGTGGAGCAGGGTGGTGGCAGTGGAGCTTTTCAAAGCCACCCAGACCGCAGAGCTGCAACCCAGACGTGCAGAGAGCTGAGCTGCATAGGAAGCATTAGCAGCTTCCCAGGGCAAAAGGCTCAGGACAGACTCTGGAAGCCAGTGCACTGTACGAAGCCCATCCCAACCTCCCCATGGCCACATGAGCCCTACCTGCTCATTCTTGTGCCCTGTCATGTGTGACTTGAGCTGGAAATAGGTGTTGAATTTGCTGGGGCAGAACTGGCACTGGTAGGAGCTATCAACCAAGACAACCTGCTTGGCTTCCAGCTTGCCCGCCTCGCCCTCATCCAAGGGGCTCACATCTTTGGGGGGTGGTGCAGGGTTCCTTGAGGGCTGAGTCAAACCTGGAGAAAGGAAGAGCAGAAGTCACAGCCTGCCGTGAGACAGCTGCTCTGCAAGCACTAAGACAAACAGACTTGGCTCTGGGTCCAGGCTCTTCCTTTTTTCCAAGGAGATTCCTCAGATCAGACAAATCTCACCTTCTAACAGGTAGTTTTAAATTTGTCTACAGATTATTACAGGTGCTGACTACTCCATCTTCCTCTCCTTAACCCATTCTCTTTTCACAGACATAACTGTGCTTTGTGGAGCAGTCAGCAGAACAGGCCTCCACCACTGGATCAGAGCCAGATTTACTCCCATCTCTGGCTGCAGGCAGGAGGTAAGATGCAGCCAGTAGCTCCCAGTCCTGTCTGCAGGAAGCAGCTCCAGTGGGACCTTGTCCTCGACGTGACATTGCCACTGCCCTCCCTCCCCTCCTACCAGGGCTGAGGTCACCAGCAGAAAGGGTGTCCAGGCACCATCTGCCAGCAAGGAGGTCTTCTCTGCATCAAGCATTTTCAACTGGCCACCAGGGCAGCCAGTTATGACCTGCACATTGCAAACAATCCAGAGCACCAGGCTGGGCTAAACCACTGGCTTGTCTGGCCACTAGACTGGAGCTGTCAAGTGTGGCTTGTGCTCTACCAAAACTGCCCCTGGCAGTGAGGGAGAAGAAGGAAGACACCTCACCCTGCCTGCATGCACATACTGGCACAGAGTTGAGCCCCTGAATGCACCATGGCTGGGGCTATGGAAGGATGCACCCGCCAGCTGGAGTCAAGCAAACGTGACCCACTCCTCTAGTGTGTGCTGCTAAACCCCACAGCTGGAACACAAGCAGCACACGCAGCTCCTGCCTCCCCTTGCTCCCCCCTCCCTGTGTGGAGGTGCAGGGACGTGTAGACTCCTCACACCGCTGCTCTGCCCCATGCACGTGCCACCCCCAGGCAGCAAACCTGAGCTCTCCTCGTCCTCTGGCTGGCTGGGGTTCAGAGCCATGACCTGCACTGTGATGGAGTTGCGGGAGATGGTGCACCCCAGCCCTGGAGGCCACACCTTATGGGTTTGCATGTGCTTCTTCACGTTGGACTTCTGGGCGAAGGCTCGGCCACAGACGATGCACTGGAAGGGCTTCTCGCCTGTGTGACTGAAGGCAGAAGGCCCTGTATCAGCAGAGGGCAGAGAGGAGACAGCCCCAGGCATGGACCACGGTGGGCTGGCTACTGCAGGACCATGCTAGGCACTCTGCTTGGAAGACCAGCACCTGGACCAGCCAAATAAGAGCTTTGAGAGCTGATTAACAGAAATAAGTGTGTTGTGAGAGGCCTGGGGAAACGAGCTGGGTGCACAGAGAAAACACGATTTGGGGGTGACAGAAGATTAAAGAAGAGGTGGGAGAGGAAAAGAGCTCTGCAGCAACATCAGGGCATTCACTGTCAGAGTCTCCACACGGACCTTGGGGACCCCATCACTTTCTCATGGGTACAAGCCTTTCTTCCCTGTTACCCTCCCTCCGCTGCACATGTCTCTTTTAGTTTGCAGCTCCCTGATCTCCCTGGATTTGTTCTCCCCTGTCTACAGCAGAAAGGCCTTTCTAGCCTGCCCTTCTGCTTCAGGAGAAGGAGCAGACACTAACACAAGGAATACATCATGTGAAGAGTCCAGGCTGGGAAGGGGAGTGAAACCACCACTTGTTCCTTCTCATCTGTCCAGAGTCCAGGGGGAAACTCTACAGATTTCATCTGCTTCCTGCCAGAGAAAAGTTCTCTTACAAGAGCTCCCTGTACAGACTCTGAGCCTGGCTTAGTTTACTATTACAAGAACACACAAAGGCTGCAGCTTGCGAGGGAGGGAGCACAGAGGAAAGGACAGAGGCAAGTAGTGGAGGTGACACTGCTTCAGTGATCAGATGCCAACAGGCTTGGCTTTCAAAGTCTCATCAGTGAGGAAAACAAGTCTCCATCCAGTCCACAATCAACAAGATTACATCCATGAGGCAGCCCTCACCATAGCCACTGGGAAGAGGGTCTCCTGGAGGCAGGAGATGAGGGATTGCCACCCAGCACAAGCACAGGCTCTAAGGCATGACAAACACAAGGTCTAGAGGACTGTGCAGACTCCCTCAGCAGAGCTGTGCCCACCTCCACCCCAGCCACTCTTCTGTGCCCGTTACCTTCTGATGTGCTGCTGCAGGTCAAAGTTCTTAGTAAAGGCCTTGTCACAGTAAGTGCATTTCAGCTTTGGGGACTTGGGTTTGCCTGAAAGAGCACACATAGGAATGAGGTCATGGAACACAGCCCTGTCCCCTCTCTGTGCCACAGGGCCCTCACCCCAAAACGTGCCTATTCAGGATGAAGAACAGAGGGCTTGTGAAGGGGTAAGATCTGCCTGGCCAGACTGCAGAGAGGTTATGGGCACACACATGTATTTATTGTAGCCTAAGCTAACTCTGGACATACTGAAAAGAGCAGTAGTGGAGGGGGCACATCAGAGAAGCTGTAGGTGCCCCCTCCCTGGAAGTGTTCAAGGTCAGGTTGGATGGGGCTTTGAGCAACGTGGTCTAGTGGGAGGTGTCCCTGCCCAGAGAAGGGATCCAATGCTCCTCCAGGGCACACCCCTGGCCTGCCTCCCCCAGGGGCACGTTTTCTTCCTAGACACTCAAACACACAGCAGGGGTGGCTCTGCTGAGCCCTTGGGAAGAAATTCTTCAGGGCCACGCCCACCTAGCCCACCAGCCTTGTGGCTGGGCAGACCTCCTCGGGTTAACACAGCCCAAGCTCTAGCACCTCACTTTGCAGGATCTCCCTATTTTGGGTGCGATGCAATAAGCACAGAGCTGCAGAGACCTGGCACAAGCTTGCCCAAGCAGCAGCACAGTGACAGTCCTTTCACCTGTGCTCAGAGGTGACAGACAAGAAGCCCATCCACACTTTCACCAGCTTTTGACAGTTTTGTGCAGGCATCACCCTCCTCCTCCAGCCAGTGTCTGCTGGCCTGCTTGACAGGCCACCCCAGCACAGGCACAGTGGCCTGCAGGCTAAGGCAGGGCACACAGTCCCAGGACACTCACCTTCCTGCAGCCCGCTCTCATTCTTGCAGCGCTGACTTTTGGGGGTGGAGGTGGAATCAAACCCAACCACACTGCCTCCTCCTGCAGTCAGAGGGGTGGGACCACTGGTGCTCTTGGACTTGAACCCCTGCTTCCCAGGGCTGTACACAGGAGGAGAAGGGTACACAGGGCTCTCCACACACTGGCTGGGTACCTGTGAGAGTGCCATTTATCAGTGGGGACAGGTTTGCTGCACAGAACATTGCTGTGCCCCAACCTCCATCTCCAGCAACACTTGCCACAGCAGCCCATCAGTCCAGCTAAGTCTTCTGCCTCCTGCCAAACTGGTCAAACTGGTGGTTCACCTGTCCAGCAACGTGGCTCTAACTAAAACTAACACCCTGCGCAGTGTGAAACTCTCCTGCTGGACATGATAAAGCATCCAGCAGGAACAGGACAGCAAAGAAATGCTCTGAAGGACCTGTCTAGTCCCTCATCTACATCTTATGCCAAGAAAAGTTTCTTATCCCTCCAGAGCAGGTTACCAGAACATTCACCACTGACCCTGTAGGTTCAGACCAGCCCTGAAGGCAGCTGTCTCCAGGCCCTGCTGCCTGCCCTGGTAGAACTGCAGCAGGAAAAATAAGCACAAAAAAGCTCCAGTTGTTGAAAGCCCCTGCTGGCTGCATCAGCACCAGTATTCAAAAAGGACACTTGGAGAAAAAAAAAACAGAAGCATCAGCCTGGGGTGACATTGTTTGAAGGTGTTTCTGTTGCCTACTCTATGTATCCAACATCCCTGTCCATTTCTGACCACTGACACGTCCAGGTCAGATGCCAGCTGCAAAGATAAGACCAACAAACCTCTGTCACAGCCAGTACTTTCTGTTGTGAATGGCTAAACTAACATGGACACTGCCAACAGCTGACTGGTAAATCCACTCCTGCCCGTGCCTCTCTTTAGGGAAAGCTGCCCTCTTTAGCGAAAGATGCCTCGTCGAGCTCACTGATATTTAGACTGATTTCCTCTCTCTATGTAAGCCTGCTGTGCACAGTGTGGTGCTCTCTACCTCTCTGGGAGGTGAGCCCCTGACCTCAGCTCCCTCCAACTCCCAACACCTGCAGGTATTCCTCAACCACAGCAGACACTCAGGTCTCCTAAACCTGTCCCAGTCAAGTCTTTCATCCCTGTTAACCGTTTCTGCTGTTGCCAGAATCCCCACCAGCTTCCTGACATCTTCTGTTCAGCACCTTCTCCCAAAGGAAACAGTAACTGTCAGTCTAACACACCTTCCCAACCTCTAACCCTGCATTTCTAGCCCAGGCGACCCCCGAGGCCCAGAAGGTCAGAGCTGCCAGGTTGAGCCTTACCTCCATGGGCGGGT